GTTGGGTGGTACTTTATAGCAACACGAAGTGCCCTAAGAAAGCTGGGTATCAAGAACAAGAGCAAGGACTCTGGTGGAGCCCATTCTGGAACCTGCTAAAGCACCATCTGTTAAGGATTTATTACCAACCCATTTCCTAAAATGACTTTTTAATAACTTATCAAATGAAGTTACATTGAGGAATGACTAAGTAATTCTCAGTCACTAGATGGGATGAACAACACTGTCCTGCATCATCCACACATGGATCCCACGAGGGTCTACCCGCTCCAGGGGACGGGGGCTACCAGACACACCATGAGCCCAGGGGGCTACCAGACACACCGCAAGCCCGGGGGCTACTAGATACACCATGAGCCTGGTGGCCATGCCAGCACGGTGGCAAGGACAGCCATAGAGTCATAGAATCCTTTAGGTTGGAAAAGACCTTTAAGACCATCGAGTCCAACTGTATCCATCAAGTATCCAACCGTACCCAGCCCTAAGTCCATCGAGTCACAGGGGCCACATGAGATGCTGCGAGTATTAAGTCAAAAATCCCCAAATTGTTAATGCTGACCAGAACGAAGCCAACAGGTTCCTCCAACACCAGCAAGAAAGGCTGGCGATGAACCGAGGGCCCTAACTCGTCCCAGATCTCTTCAGACCAGGCTTCAGTTTCAAAAGACAACCTGGGGCAGCAAAAAAGCACACAGGAGACGGCCGGGTTTCCATAGGAAAAAAACCCTTTTATTTAACAATATATCAGGTTCCATCACGGCTCCATGGAGTTCAGATGCCACAGAGCTGGTTACCGATGCCGATGATATGCTACTGGGCGGGAGAGCTGGGGAGAAGGTGAAAGGAATCAAAAAAGAGGAACATGACACGAAGAAACAAAAGCCTGCGGTGCCGGGGGAGCACGGCCAAGGGGACCCCGGTGCCCGGCACCGCCGGAGCCCCACCAGGAGCCAAGGACGATCAACCAGCGTGGGTTTGCCCAGCCCCGCTCCGGGATGTGCCCCCAGAACAGCCTGGGGACCCCAAAAAGGGGTGCTGGCACGGAGGGAACGAGGAGGTGGCCGAAGCCAAGCTGCATGGTGCCGGGATGTGCCCCCAGAACAGCCTGGGGACCCCAAAAAGGGGTGCTGGCACGGAGGGAACGAGGAGGTGGCCGAAGCCAAGCTGCACGGTGCCCAAATCACTCCTGCTGCTCGCCGGTGGTGATTCCAGACCCTCGGCCAAAATCCCCCCCATCCCTACACCAGCACCGGGATCGGCCACATCCGGGCTCCAAGTCCAACCCCACCTCTCGGATAATGGCAGCGGAAGATGGAGAAGGATAAACCTGGCAGCCCAGATGCTCCAGCGATGCCGGCACGGCGGGCACGGGGTTTGGGGCAGCAGCAGCCCCACGGCTGGTTGATCGTGTGAGGACACCGGGGACCCAAGGGGGTGTTTCCTACCCCCCCCCCCCAACCACCACGTTTCCTCCCCCCCCCCCCAACCACCACCACAACCCCCCCTCTTCCCTTCTCCCGGGACCGCGGCGAGGGTGCGGATGCGACGCCGTGGGATGTAGACGTGGTCACAGCTCTGAAATGTGGGAGCGCGCGGTGCGGGGGTGCTGGTGTGAGGGGCAGCTGGGAGGGGGACCAGCACCTCCAAAACCCCCCCCAAGACACCCTGGGGGGGGGCAGCGGAGACTGAGGGAGCGCCCCCCCCTCACCCTCTGCCGATATAATGCAGATTCACAGGCAAATTCCCAGCTCCTGGGAGCAACTGGGAGCTCCCAGCTGCTTCCTGGGAAGTGCCACACGTGCCCGGTGACACCGGAGATGGCTTTGGGGGGCACGGCCCCCTCCCCGAGCACCCCCTGTACAAAACGTGGGTGATGCTGAAGAGGAGCGAGTCCCCCCCTCCCCATCCTGGGCACCAAGCAGAGATGGGGCTACCGTGTGCTTGCGTTTGGCAAGTGGAAAAGAGGTGATAGTTGGGAAAAGGGATCTGCACCAGGAGCAGCTCCACAGGTCTGGAAAAGCGGATCAGGATCTGAGGATGCTGCGCTGAGCTGTGCATCCTGTGGTTTGGGGTTTTGGTTGGTTGGTTTTTTTTTTGGTTTAAGATAAAAAAGGAGATAAAATCGATGCTCCTTTAGTTCATCAAGTCTCTTGCCCGTGCTCAGGCCGGGGTTGAAAGCTCTGCCCAGACCCAGGATGGCCAGGTCCCACCTTGCCATGAGCATCGGGGCTGTGCCCACAGCAAGGGGCACAATCAACCCCCCCACACCTCGCTCTCTGCTTGGCGCCCACCAGATCCTGCATTATATCGAGGGCACAGCCCCACCACCCCGTCCTGAGCCCCCCCAAGGGGGGGACCCAGCCTCCCCCCCTTCCATTCTGCCCGGCAGCACCCCCACACCAGCACAGCCCCGCGGGGCAGCTCCGGGGCTGAGCGCAGTATGACAATGTTTTACACCCGTTCTTGTGGTTAAAATTTCTTTTTCTTTTTTTTTTTTTCTTTTTTTTTTTCTTTTTTTTTTTGTTCTCGTTTGTTTTTCTAAGAAAAAGCAACCAGAAAATAATTCAGAGTTTATACAAAACATCTTTACATTATTTCTTCCAAAAAAGACTAGTATTTACACAAACAAAACGGAGGAGGAAAAAAAAAAAAAAAAAAAGAAAAGAAAAAAAAACCAACCAAACTTCAATGCTTTCCATGAAAAGAACCGAAGGGACACACTCCGTTTCAGGACCCAGCAGACCGAGGTGCTCAGCAAAAACCAAGAGTTCAGATATCACCCTTTCTTCACATATTTACAAGGTTTCTCGACTGCCCCCAGCAACAGGGATGGAGCTGACGGGGCTGCTGAGGGGGGGGGGGACAGCCACCGTGGGAAGCCACCCGGTGCCACCAGTTTGCTTTTGGTATGACCTGTGGTCAGATTTCCTTCCTTTCCCCTCCAAAAACAAACCAAAACTAAATCATCCCCCCAACTCTCCATCAATAAAGCATCCTCCACCGTCACCGCCGCCGCCACCCCCAGCTGGGGCTCTGCCCCCCCCTCGGGAACTGCATTTTGCAGAATGGAAGAGGGTGAGGAAAAAAAGGGGGGGATTTTCTTTAAGACACAATTTTCTGTCATTTTTGAGAGCAGACCCCGTTCCCCAGTGGGGAATGGGGGGGTCCTGGCAGGGGTGGCTCCCAACCCTTCAGCAGCAGCCCAGGGTGGGCAGTGCTGGCACGGATGCCATGGAGAGGGGGGGCAAAGGGTGCTATGTGGAGGGCACAGTGGGGGCCAGGGGAGCTGGGAGAAGGGCTGGGCAGGGGGGTACACTCCCTGTGGCTCTTCTCCCCCGAGTGTGGTAACTGGTTTAGGACCCTGGAAGCCATCCTCACCGTGGGATGCCGAGGGGTTGGGAGGAGAGCTGGGGCAGAATGCTCTGCTCCAGCCAAAAAAAAAACAAAAAACAAAGAACCAAACCAAAAATAACCTGAAAAAAAAAAAAAA